GCTACTGTAAAATGGATCATTGCTTATTTGATAGGTCTTATTAACTGTTCAAACTGGGAGTTAATTCAAGGGTTTCTCTGTCTGAACTCTGGATGAAAGTGGGTTTGACACTCGCGAATAAGACCTTAATTGAATCCATACCTTTTTTTTCTTTTTCTTTTCTCGTTTCTTTTATCTCTAGTTTCTATTTTAGTAGTTGGAAAGTGGCATCCAGTTCCCATGGTCGGTGGTATTCCATTTCCTTCTAGTGTACAGTAGCATTTCCATGCTTCGTTTTATGTTTACTCATGCATTTAGTCCTATTGTCTTTATTTTTGGCCCTCGGTATTATTGTTGTTCAACTGCTTATTGTTGTTTTGTTTAACTGAGTTATGTAGCTTACAATTTCCGATTGGCAGTGTGCTGTGAGTTTCAGTTCAGAGACCATTCCAAATGGCATTGGGTTTGGAGGGCAAATTAATCACTTTGGCCGTGTTCCACTCTGCAGACTTTGATCAGGGACACACTCTCTCTTGCACAACATTCAACAGCCCTTGCCTTTCAAAGAACAGTAAAATCTGCCGAGAACTGATAGAATGCTGGGGAGTTGTGAGGAAAGGAAAACAAGAAGAAAGATAAGATGCTCCTAAAGGTACTGTGTTAGAAAGGTTTAAGGAGGACTGGAATATGCTCAGTATGGTAGGGATTGCAAATGCTAGCGAGTAAATATGATCATCTTTGGCCTGCACATTTGGATGTGGCTTCAACATTCGGATCAGTGCTTACGGTTAGAAGTCCTGTTCATTATCTGTCTAGTTTAAGGAAAATTGTTTTTATCTTGAGTGCCTGATTCCTCAATCGAACAGAATTTTATTTATTTATTTAGTTATTTATCAATATAGCACCTAAGAACGCTAGTGTATCATGTATACACCAAATCCTCTTAACTACAAAAATTTACTGGTAGTTTGAAATAGGAAATTATGGCAGTGTTTATGAGGATCCATAACACTAACCTACTCATCTCACAGAAATACTTTTATGCCTCTTTCTTTAGCTAGAAGTAGTAATTATCATGTTTCTCTATTCCTTGCAAAGAAATATCAAATAATATAAATCATTTAACTCTTTCAGTGCTCCCCTGTTGCTTAAGTTTCAATACATTAGTCGGCAGCATAATGTAAGTAGCTTGCCTCTTTAATCCAACATTTAGATTTATGATATCATTCACTTGATACCAGCAAGAGTTTAGTCAAATTCGTATTCATTAATTTAAAAACCTTAATTTGAGGTTAAGATTTGATATTAAAATATCTATAATATTAAACAGTTAAGTTTTTGATTTAACATATAAAAAAAAAATCTTATTCTTCATTCAGTTGATGCAGCAGGTAGTTATAGTAGGATTATTATTCAAACTCTAAAAGTTAATTCAAGGATGTCTCTGGTCTGACATTTTTTTGTGGCTGGTCAAACATGTTTTACTTTTACGTCTGTTCTTTTTAAATCATTGATGAAAGTGCGTTTGGGACTGGAGTAAAATAGATTATAATTTTTTTCTTTTTATTTTACCTGAAAGAGGTTTCTTTCATCTCAAGTTTCTACTTTGGTGTTGGAATATAGAGCAGACAGACAGTCTGTGGTGTTCCATTTTCTTATAGTTGTAGCCTACACTAGCACTTCCTTGCTTCGTTTATGTTTACGCATGGATTTAGAACTACTGATTTTTAGTCACAAAGGCTTCCATATCTGGAACTTTATGGACTTTTCAATATCTCACCCCCAGCTCCTGTATTCCTTAGTATTTGAAGGACTTGCATTTGACTATTTGACCCTACTTTTCAAAAATTCTATTGCATTACATCTCTTGCTTTTTCATTTTCCTGGATTGCTGGTTTATTGCCTTCTTCACAGCCACCTCTACCATGTTTAACGGCTTCTCTGTTTCCTATCGTCAAAAGAGCAAAACAATGTGGCAAATTTGCTGCCTTCTTGCTGTCATTTCATTGCCAGATTCATTTTCATCATTTTTGCAATTTTGAATGGGACAACTCCGACGGTAACACTCAAAGCTTCGAAAAATCCAAGCTAAACAAAACAGACGTCTAAATACATTCCTCGCACTTTGCACCTCTTCTTTAGTCCCTTGGTGCTTTGGTTGTCATTGTCTTCGCATCATAGTAACATCTCTCTCGGACTTGTCAGCACCTCCTTCACCGCAGCTTCTCCTTTGGGCTTTGCTGCCTCAAGGGATTTGGAGGTTCAGCAACACCAAGGTTGCATCTAATGTAGACTTTATCTAAAAAGCG